ATTATAATACAGCTGGAAGAAATGCAGAAGACAACCCAAATAGTCAGAAGATTCAATGATCTCCCTTACCAGAAAAGTCTAAAATGCTTGGGACTCTTCAGCATAGCAAAAAGGTGACTGCTGGGTGACATGATTGAGTTGTATAAAATCACACATGACATGAAGAAAGTGAACAGGGAGAAATTTCTCTCTTTCTCTCTCAAAATACTAAGCCCAGCGTTCACCCACTGAAGCACATTGGAAGGAGTTTGGGAAAGAAAAGAAAACCCATAATCAGAAAGTTTATAAATTACCTTGTGGAATTTAGTGTTTGTCCACTAAATTAGCCATCAAAAGATTAAATGCTCAAGAAAGCCACCTATTATGGCATCCTTGGAATATGACTGTTTCGACATTCCAGAATCCTTGGGATGAAGACCACAAGGAATGCCTGTAGCTTGCCTTGAATTTGCTTTTGCTACAACTCAATTAATTAATTGCATGTCTCTGAACACCAGTGCCCATGGAATGGCAACAGGAGAAGGCCCTGTCTCCTATTTCTGCTTGTGAACACCAACAAACATATGCTTAGCCACTTTGAGAAACAAAATATTGGACTAAGATGGACCTTTACTGTATTCTGGACTTTGAAGAAGTAGGATAGGAAGGGTATCAGCACCTTTGAATCTTGGTGTTGGAGAAGACTCCTAAGAGTACTATGGACTGCCAAGAAAAAAAGGCCTCAAAGACCAGATTAGAAACTGATCATTATAGAGAAAATCTATCTGTGTGGTCACTAAGAGACAACATTGACCCGATGGCACATAATCAATTACCTTATTCAACAAGGCTGTTGTATCCTTATGTGTGAACTAGTACAGCTGGAAAAGCAAACTGGAATTGTGTGTGTGTGTGTGCTTAGAAAGAAACACAGTAATACATATTAGATGGGGTTATCAGTTCCGGGATTAAAAAGTTCCAGTCAACCCCTGGATAGGCGCAAAGGATAGCATTTTCTATATCTCTTTGCTACTTATCTAGTGGCTGTCTGTCTGGTAGCCCAATATGAGGTCCAAAAGTGTTTGAATGAACTACAGCTATTGACATATCTTCCACTCCCACTAGAATATTCCTCTACAACCTCTACAATCATTCCTCTACAGATAGAGCTACTTTGTTTGTTTATAAGTTCAATTCTCAGCTGCCCATTAAGGCAAGATACTGGGTGGCTTACCACCAATGATAGTTTCTTGAGGAGGGGGTACACCATTGCCTCCTTCAGAGCCAGCAGGACCAGTCCTTACTCATATTTCTCCTGGCACAAGCTCTATTTCTGAAACCATGACATGACCAGCAGATATTTTACTGGCTAATTCTTCCAGAGATGCAGGGTACCTACATGTTAAATTCTTGCCTTTTAGGGATCTATTAAAAATGCACCACCACCGTCAGCAGGCCAAGATGACTAACTTGAGACATGGTGTCATAAATAGACTATCACCCTGTTGTTTTGTTGCATATTCTATTCTGATGCTCATTTTTTATCTGCTAGAAAACAGCTTCTCTAAATACAGACTTGAGAATCCAATTATAAATAATAAGATGTTACAGCTTCATGTTTTGTGAGCACAGAAAGGATGGGTGGGATCAAGTGAGAAGTCTGTAATTCTCTTGCCCTCTTTCTTGATATTGATTGGCTAACCAGCCTTTTTAATCAGGTTTATATTCTAGAGTGGGAGAAAGAAGTTCACTTTCTCTTGTGGCTGCGAAACCTTTACTTAGTGAAGATTTCTTGAATTGCTCAACAAATACTGGGAGGAAATTTCCAGACAGTTTGAAGGTAAAATTTATTTCAATATTCCACATTGGATAACCTTGGTTTTAAGATGATCCTATCACATCTCAGATGGGCTTCTGCCTCTTTAAAACCTCTGAGAAAGGAGTGCAGTTCCTTTCTTCTCATCCCCGCAGTAATTGGAAACATGGCACTTCCAGAATTTTATTCTGCCACAAGTTAGAGATGTACAGAAACAACCCAAGGAAATATGAGAAAGCTTAAATTAGTGTGTTAACCTTAAGAGTCCCAAATAACTCTTGCTGTTTTGCTGCAAAGATTATCATGATTACTGAAATGTGGTCCATAAGAAAGCTTGTTAGCATTAAGGCTGAGGTCCATCAGTACATATTTTGTATGCTTAGGAATTGCCAAATTCTTTGGTTCTACTGTAAATTAATTCTGGGGTCATTTGGCTTTGTCTGGAAGCTCTCCAAGATGGCAAACATGGCAACTTTGCACTTGGGACTTCGCTTTGGTTGGATTTATTCATTCATACAAAAAACATTGCTATCATCTAGTAGTCATCTGGATTACTGCAACCCAAACATGGTAGACCTAATTCCTTATCATTGCTTCTTATATTTGTACCCTGTGAGACTCAAATCTTTTTTTTTTCCACCATTAGATTATAAATATGTGATAGGCACTGCTACAGGGCAGAAAAAAAATTCTTAGGCACAGGATGAATATTGCATGATTAGTTGGTTTTATGAAAAATATCATTATCTTGAAGATAATTACCTTTGCTAAAATGCCTGCAAAATTAATCAGAATTATTCTTACAGCATAACTGAAATGTAGGGAGGCAATAGGGTCATCAGAAGCTGAGACAGTTATCTGTTGGTGGGGAAGGAAGGGATAAAAAACATTGTTCCTAATAACTGAAAGGAGGTGGCCATCAGTGAGGAAAGACTTCTGCTGTCACTGAGACTCATGGCAGAAGACCAAGACCCCATTCAGGAAAGAGACCACCAGGTGGAATAGAGATGCCACATCTCATTTTGAAGTTAAGTAATGCACATTATCATTCAAAGAGCCTTTTCTTACTTGCATCCAGCTCTGGCACAAGCATGCCTACGCAATCTCTTTTAATGCCAAATCCTCCTGCATTCATTGAATTCCAGACCCATACTTGAGACCGTCTTAAAGTTATCCTGTACTGCTGTTAAACTAGCGTTTTCCTCCTTATTCCAATGGAAGTTTTGCTGCCAATGATTCTGTCAATGATGCAGTCAGGTGACTCCCTAGGTGGTAGGATTAACCCATCACATATATGGGACTTTAGGCTGGTGCTGGTACAGTCCTGACACCATCAGTCCCCGGGCACTGGTTTCCAGGGTTATTCTACTTTGGGCAGTAGGAGCATCAATTTCTTTCAACCAGACTCTCCCCACCACTACTCACAGGTCTCTGAGCTATTTCTGAGCCTTGAGATCTGAGACAGCCTAAACAGCAGCTGACTAGTTGTTTCAGCTGTGGGTTGGGCTGCTTTTAAATGCAAATTTAGTGTTATTCCAGAATAGCACTATCCCAAAATATCGCTAAAGCCATGTCAGCTGATTGTCAATCTCCCTTTGAATGAGTCTACACACACAAAAAAGGTACAAAACCAGATCAGGTTTTCACAGTTGGGTAAACCTGTGCTGGGGGTGAGGGGGAGGGAAACAAGACCCACTCTTTCAGCTCCAGTGTCCCCTAGTAACACCATGGGACATAATGATCCTGCCTCATCTTCTCAGGTTGTTGTAAAGATGATGAGCTAATATAACTGATGTGCTCTGAATACTGAAACTGACATGCTGTGAATATTTCTCTTTCCCTCTGATAAATACTGGAAGTGAACCCCAAAATTGAAACGTTTTTGATTGACATCAGAAGAGCACCACCTGAACTGCTCCCAACTTGCCATTGGATCGTAATTTTTAATGTGACAGAATTATTAATGCAATTTTTAAAGTGGCAGAATAGTTGATGGGACAAAATTATTCAGCAGCCGGGCAGTGTTGGGCCTCAGGGCTCCAGTATTCATTATTCAGCAGCATTTGGATGTTATATTAGCTACTGACCAGTAGGAGGCACTACACAACCAATTTCATCCTTGTCCTTCAGGTATCCTCCATGCTAGATGTTCCATGTTCCACCCTTCAATAGGATTTGAACACAGGCCTTGCACTTCTTAACTGTACAATGCATTTAGCTTTAGAGCTGCTGTGGCCTGGCTGTTAGTAGTTTGCAAGGAAGGATGATCTTAGAGAAGCTATGCAAGTACAACTTTTTTTCCCTACACGCTCACATTCTAGAGTTTTCTATTTAAAAGAGGCTTACTTGCATAGCTTTCATTCAATAGCAGTCATGTATTTAATCATTGGGCTGCTGGAGATATCCAGATTAAAATCATTATAATTTTAAAATAATTGTTATTGGAGAAAATACGCAAGATCATCAACTCTCTTGAGATTTTGGATTCTCATATGACTGACATCCCTGGGTGAGAACTCCAGGATCTCCTAAAATTTGGTGAACTTAAAGGAACCGGTGATACTACACTGAGAGTATCCAGATCATCACACAAAATTTTGGGCTGGTAGCTTGGTGACAAAAAAATGTTATGACTTCTGTAGTTATGATGCTACAATGGGGTTAGAGTTACGGCTAGGGCTAGGGCTAGATTTTTGGAAATCTGTGAATTCAATGCAGTGAACCTGAGATTTTTTATTATTATATTAACAGGTTAAACATTTTAGCATCCATTTCTCCCAACATAGGCAATTTTGTTTCTGATGTTTTCTAATATATACATTATTTACAAAGGCAATTCTTCTAAGGCATTTTAATATATTTCTTCTTCTTATAGACAGTTTTGTTGCCTTTACCTAATATAATGTTATACTTTTTAAATATACTTTTAAAATCAGCAAACTGCACTGCACAATCTGGAGAAGTGTGTCAAAGGATATCTAAGTTTTGGCTTGTGTGTTCATTTGAAAAGGTAAATTTGGACCAAACAAATTTATCTTCCATCCTTATAACAAGCTAGCAGTAAGAATGGGACAAATAATAATGTGATGTTTGTATTTTGGTGATTTTACTGTTTCATTGCATATTGTCTTTTTTTTCTCCCCCCAGGATTTCATCATCCTTTGCAGTTCTTTCTAGCCCCTTTTTCATGGGCAACATTCCAGTTATGAAACAATGGATATTTGTCTTATGCCTTTTAGGATCATGTTCTGCTTTGCCGGTAATTCTTACAACTTTATCTCAAAAAATTACTTAGGGCCAATAAAGTTAAAGAGAATAGGTGTCTTTTTAAAAAACAGCAATAAAGAATATTATTTGGTCACCTAATTTGGTACTAGGACAGTATTTCTCAACCTTGACAAATTTAAGATATGCGGACTTCAACTCCCAGAATTCCTCAGCCAGCATGTTGGCTAGGGAATTCTGGGAGTTGAAGTCTGCACATCTTAAAGTTGTCAAGGTTGAGAAATACTGTTCTAGGAGATCAAATACATTAGTTTTGTCTAGTCTGGCACCCTCCAGATACAGTTCCAAAATTCCTAGCTAGTACCTTTTTGGGTTCTTTCTCATATCAAAATTATGTTAGCATGGTTCTCAGAACAGTTTTAAAAGGCACTTTACAGCAACGTCCTGCTCCTTTGTATTCCTAGCAGTAATTATGGTTTTTGTATTTCCTATGACAAAAAACACTTTGAAAACATGGCCACGAAACCATTATATGACATTTCTTTGAAACCAACATTTTGCAGTATTCAAATTAACCATTCTACTATGGAACACTTTCAAGTAGTTTCCATTAGTTGTTTTTAATATGTAAGGAAGTGCCCATTTTCTAAATCTGTTATACATTCCTAACCATTTTAATTAAAGATCCACTAAGAAGGCAGGAGAATCTCTAGTCTGAAAGATTTGATCCCAGTAATGGGAAAGTCAAGTCCTATACTTTAAAAATCCAGAGTTCATCTTGGCTTTAGTAATCAATAATATAAAGATCCACAGAAAATCAGTGAAAACGTTTACTAATTTAAACTCAGCCAATGGATTGCCAACCCTCCCTTTTTGTGCCCCCACAAATTACTCTAGATTGCTGAAATATGACAGCAATCCACCAAAGAATACTAGTACAATTCTATACCCCTTTTCCAGTAAAACATTTCTTTAAATAGATTCCCTCCAATAACTGAGGAGGAGGAAGAGGAGATACCAAAGAAGGAATCATATTAAACCTCATACCCCAACCCTTCAATGATGTCATCATGTCACCACTACAGCAGCTCTCAGCAATGTTATTCTTTAAAACAGTGTCATCTCTGGTCACATAAACTATTCTTAATATATATCTTGTATATCCGTAGATACTGCCTCGTCATGCTGGGATTCCTGGAATGGGTAGTATAAGCCTTGAGGTATGTATGTATGTGTGCGTATAAGCGTGTGTGAAAATCTTTGGATATATATATATAACCAAAATGGGTTTGTGAATTATGATGTTTATTTAGAATGTTTCTCTACCATTGAATAAGAGCCAGTTGATCTAGAGGTTAAGGCACCGGGCTAGAAACCGGGAGTCTGTGAGTTCTAGTCCCACCTTAGGCACAAAGCCAGCTGGGTGACCTTGGGCAGGTCCCTCTCTCTCAGCCCTGGGAAGCAGGCCAGGGCAAACAGCTTCAAAAACTACAGGGACTTGTCCAGACTGTTGTAAGGAGTCAACGCTGATTTGAATAAGAAAAACTTGGCTGCTAAGTTTGCAATTTATCTTTTAAAAGATAAAATACAAAATAAAACAAGAAATTTTGAATGTCTTGCAATTGCTTTATGACTGGAGATAAAAATGATGCATAATGTGATAAAAGAGTACATGTGGTCTGCCCTTAACTGAACTGCTGGCTTGAAGTAAAATTCCTAAAAGGAGACATGTAAATTTCTAGCAAAACCAGTGTGGTGTAGTGGTTAAACCTCCAGTCTAGACACCAGAAGAGTGGGAGTTCTAGTCCTTCCTTAGGCACAAAGCCAGGTGTGTGACTGTGGGCCAGTCCCCTTCTCTCAGCCCTAGGAAGCAGGCCAGGGCAAACGACTTCTGAAAATTCTGCCAAGAAAACTGCAGGGAGTAGTCCAGGCAGTTGCCTGGAGTCAAGACTGACTCAAAGGCACAAAGAAAAAAAAATACTACTACCATTCCTCTTCCCTTCCAGTATATTTTGAAAATAAACACTTTCAAATTAGTTGTGCAAATAATATCCATCCTCTGAAGCAACTACATTACTTCACAGTTTTATGTGTGATAACTTAGGACAGAAGTTGTCCCATCTGAGTATGCACACTTAGGCCTTTTCTGCACTGCAGCTTTAAGCTGCCTGACTCCTGAGCATAAACTCTGAACCATTGGCCTCCTGGACTCTTTCCTTCTTTTTTAGTAATGGTGTGTATAGGTTTTTAATTGTATGATTATTTATTGTTTTTAACGAGTTGTGAGCTGCCCAGAGTCCCCCATTGGGGGGAGATGGGCAGGGAATGAATGAATGAATGAATGAATGAATGAATGAATGAATGAATGAATGAACGAACAAACAAACAAACAAACAAACAAGTTAGAAATGAAGCCAGCTTAAGAAATTCCTTTCCAGATTTGAACCCTTTCCTCTTCCTTGGCCATGGAGATGGCCTGGTATCTGTTTTCCCAGCATTTACCATGGCCCCTGATTGGTGGATTTCTCTGTTTCTTTACTTCTCCTACTAGTGCAAAGAAAGTAAGCAACAATTGCTTTCTTTTCTATTGGGTGGGTCTTTGAGGACATGTGATTTACCTTGGTGGACCTTTTTGTATAGCTTCTCTTGGTTGACCTCTCACCTTTGACACAATCATCTGTTACACCCAATGGTGGACTAGTTCAAAAAGAAACACTATTTTACCTTTCTTTGTGTCGAAGGAAGGAAGGCAGGCGGGCAGGCAGGTGGGCAGGCAGGCAGGAGCCAGTGACCAGGGGGAAGAGGCCACGGTGCCCAGTACCTAATTGGAGTGGAGACATTTGCCTACAGTGAAATGAAGCACAGCAGGCAAACTGGGCAGAACCACTTGTGCTGACACAAGTTGGAAAACACTACTTTTGATGCCTAGCAAAAAGTGGAGATTTCTTTCATGGTTGGTTGGGGCAGTTGAGGACAATGCCATGCATTCTTGCCCTTGAGAAATGCCTAGTGGCCTTTAGGTGCACTAGGACAACTTGGTTGTGCAGATCAGCCCTTATTTTCTCTGACGTAAAAAGGTTTGGAAATCATTTGCCCATAGAAGGATTGATAGCATCATCTCTATATGAACAACTCTGCTACCTCAACACCAACCTTTTGAGTCAGTCCTGTCAAACAGCTAAAATAATTTTTCCTTCCCCTTTTATACAAGTAAAGTCCATATAAATTAGTTGGTATTAGATTCAGGACAGACAAAAGAAAGTGCTTCTCCACACAGTCCATAATTAACCTCTGGTGACGGCAAAAAACAAAAGGCAATTGGATGAGTGTAATGAAATTTGTGTAGATGTGAGAGTGTTCAGGCCCCTCTGTTTCAGAGGTAGTACAATTCTGCATACACACTGCTTTAGGCAGACAGTGAGTGGAGGCTATTGTTTTCATCTATTTGTGAGCTCCATGAAAAGATGTGCAAATATTGCAGAATAGAAAATTTATCTATGTATTTATTAAATTTGTATGCTGCCCATCTCCCCCAAAGGGTGACTCTGGGCAGCTCACAATTAAAGTGAAACCCACAAACAATTAAAAAATAAATACCCACATTAATTAATTAAAATTAATTAATTAATTGATTAAAAAGTCAAGCTATAAAACATTCAAGATGACGGGGGAGTAAAATCAATGACCCCATGAGCCACTTCCACTGGTGCAAGTCCCCATCCAGCCCCCAGGCCATCTGGCATAGCCAGGATTTCACGCTCTTCCTGAAGGCCATGAGAGTGGGGGTACACTGCACCTCGGGTGGTAGGTTGTTTCACAGAGTGGGGGCCACGGCAGAAAAGGCCCTCTTCCTAGATCCCACCAGTCGAAATTCCT